TTGGATGGGGTGGTGGGGGGTAGTCAGGGGACAGGGAAGAGGGGTGGATGGGCCAAGGGTCCCAGGGGGGTATCAAGGAACACGGGGGCTTGTATGGGGCAGGAGTCCCAGGGAGCGGGGGCGGGCCACGACCCCCTTGTGGGGTGAGGAGGGAACCGGTTGTTAACATTTTGGCAGCTCATCACTGCCACCACCCACAGCAAAACAAACCCCCAACAAGTACCAAAACACTGCTAGAACACTGCACACTCCCTTCTGTTGTGTATTTGGTTGTTGTGGTAATAGAACCTTTTTCTTGCTGTGGCCAAATCTTACAGTGATATTGTGGTAATCCCGGGGTCCCATTTTAGTCCCAAACCACTGGTAATTGTTGAACGATCTAGGTTCCACAAAAGAGACCAAAAAGAAGTTGAAACAGTTGTACAATTTGTAGCAACTTTGAAAAAGCTTGCAGAACACTGTGAATTTAAGGAGATATTAAATGATGCCCTACATGACAGGTTAGTGTGTGGCCTGCACAGTGAAGCTATATGGAAGCGCCTATTGATAGAGGCTCAGCTTACCTTACAGAAGGCCGTTGACATTGCGTCTCCATGGAACTGGCTACAACGGAGGCGCAATACATTGGTGCATCCCCTAGGGTGCATAAAGTGTCACAAGAACCTACCCACAAAACTGTGGGGAGTCAGGAATGTTACCGCTGTGGTAAGCCGGGTGACCAGGCATCAGAATGCTGGTGTAAGGACCTGGTGTGTGGACACTGTGGCAAAAAGGGACACATTGCGTGTGCCTGTAAACAAAAGAAAAAGAGGCCTGTGGTCTGGCCGACCAAAAGGGGAACCTGCATACCCTAGAGCAGACCCAGGATGACCAAGGTGACACCTCATCACAAGAAGAAGTACCACTCCACCTTTTGTCTTTGGCAGTGGGCTCACACGAATACTGAGTAACCCCGTTGTTGGACGGCAAACTTATACGCATGGAACTGGACACCGGTGCAGCCGTCTCGCTGGTCTCAGAGACTGTGTATAAAGAAAAGCTACAGCATCTTCCGCTTAAAGCAACAAAAACAGTGCTGAAGACATATACGGGAGAAGCTGTGCCCATGTTGGGCACTACTGATGTTAAGGTGGTGCTCAATGGACAGGCTGCTAAACTGCCACTGTTTGTGGTGAGAGGTAATTACCCAGCCTTAATGGGTAGGTCTTGGCTTGGGAAGATCCAGCTGAACTGGGCAGAAGTGCAGCGAATGACTAAAGAAGAAACCGGTCTGAGCACTGTACTAAGGAAACATGCTGCTGTTTTTGGAGAGGATCTGGGAAGTATGAAGGGAATCACTGTGACACTGAACATTAAACCTGACAGTCAACCAAAATATCTGAAAGCCAGAACTGTGCCATATGCCATCAGGCCAAAAGTTGAAGCAGACCTGGAGCGCCTGGTCACCAATGGAGTCCTAATACCAGATACCCATAGCCCATGGGCAACTCCTATTGTTCCAATAGTGAAGAAAGATGGCTCCCTCCAGATTTACGGTGATTTTAAAGTCAATGTCAACCCGGTGCTGTGTGCAGAGCAATACCCACTTCCCCACATCGATGACCTCTTCGCAGGCCTGGCTGGAGGACAAAAGTTCAGTGAGATTGATCTGAGTGAAGCGTATTTATAGATACACATCGATGAAAAGTCCCAAGCGCTGTTGACTATTGTGACTCATAAGGGGCTTTATTGATACTGTCGCCCACCCTTCGGAATAACATCTGCTCCCGCCCTGTTCCAGAGGGCTATGGACCAGATCTTGTGTGGCTTGCTAGTTGTTCAGTGCTATCTGGACGACATCCTGGTCACTGGAAGGAATGAGGAGGATCACCTAAAGAATTTAGAGGCTACCCTACAAAGACTGGAAGAATATGGACTGTGAATCCGCAGACAATTGTGAATTCTTCCAGCCCTCTGTTGAATATTTGGGACACATCATTGATGCTACAGGTCTTTGTAAGGCCCCTGCCAAGGTTAAGGCTATTGTGGAGGTTCCACCTCCTCGAAATGTTAGCCAGCTTCGCTTGTTTCTAGGACTATTGAACTATTATGGAAAGTTCATCTCACAGTTAGCCACACGGCTAAAACCACTCCACGGACTCCTTGGGCAGAACAAGGCCTGGAAGTGGACTGAAGCCTGTGATGTTGCATTTAACAAAGCTAAGGATGCATTGCTAAATTCTGAAGTTCTAACGCACTTTGATCCATCCTTACTTCTACAGCTGGCCTGCGATGCGTCCCCTTATGGAGTGGGAGCAGTCGTGTCACACATTATGCCTTCAGGAGAAGAGAGACTTATTGCTTTTGCTTCACGCAGTCTAAGCAAGGCAGAAACTAACTATGCCGAAATCGAACGTGAGGCATTGGGAATCGTTTTTGGAATTCGGAAGTTTCATGAGTGCCTGTTCAGATGGAAGTTTACTCTTCTCACAGACCACAGACCCCTGACTTCAATTTTTGGACCCCTCACAGGCATTCCCCCATTAGCTGCTAGTCGTATGCAACGTTGGCCATTGTTGCTTTCCGCGCACACATATGAAATCAAATATCGGAATCCACTCTGCACGGCAATGCAGATGGTCTCTCAAGGCTGCCTTTGCCAGTCAGACATTGAGATATTGCCCAGAAGGAAATCTTTTACTTTGAACAGGTGGAAAATACACCCATCACCGCTACTCAGGTAAAGAAGGCAACTTGAGTTGACCTAGTATTGTCCCAAGTTATGGACCTGATGATGCATGGAACATCTCAATGAATCTCTGCGGTCTCACCTGACCTTGTTACCTACATGCCCATGAGAATGGAGTTATCGGTCCATTCTGGTTGTTTGTTGTGGGGGAGACATGTCATTATCCCACCACCACTGAGATCACAGATGTTAGAACAGGTCCATTCCGGTCACTGCGGAATAGTGCACATGTAGGAAATTGCACGAAGCTATTTTTGGTGGCCGGGATTGGACAGTGCTATTGAAGAGAAGGCAAGAGCTTGTGTGTCATGTCAGGGTGTGAGGAATGCACCCCTGTGGGCACCCCTACACCCATGGGACTGGCCTGAAAACCCCTGGCAACGTATTCACGTTGACTTCGCTGGCCCCCATGAAGGAAGCATGTTCTTGGTGGTGGTAGATGCTCATTCTAAATGGCCAGAAATCTCTATAATGCAGTCCACTACTGCAGACTACTATCCAAAAACTACGAGGACTCTTTAGTCATTTCCGTCTGCCAGAACAACTTGTGAGTGACAATGGACCGCAGTTCATCTCTTGGGAGTTTCAAAAGTTTATGAAGGCAAATGGGATACACCACATCACTTCAGCACCATGTCACCCATCCACCAACGGATTAGCTGAAAGATTTGTGCAGACAATGAAACAAGCTTTGAAATCGGCAAGGGGACAATTATCCATTCAAAAGCGTCTGGACACCTTCTTACTATCCTACAGAAACACACCTCATGCTATGACCAAGGCATCCCCAGCCTTTCTAATGATGGGATGACAGCTGCGCACTTGCTTTGATCTGCTGAAACCTTCTGAACCCCAACAAATTGTGCAACGTCAGCAGCAAGATCAAGTCATCAGGCGTGCACCCAGAGCAAAAGACTGAACTTTTAGCCCGGGACAGCCGGTTTTGGCTCGGAATTATACTTCTGGAGCTAAATGGGTCCCTGCCACTGTCATCGCTCAAACGGGACCTGTTTCCTACACAGTCCAGACTGCAGAGGATCTCACCTGGCGGCGACATGTAGATCAGCTGCTGCCAGGTCATACCAGTCCTCAGGACACATCTTCAGTTGAGTTGCCTGACTTCACCACCTCCGGCGAGACACCGAATCAAGAGTCACCTGTTCCTGACTGTCCCACTCCATTACTGCCGGCAGCAGAGATACCCCTCAGCCCAGCACGAGCTGATACCCCATCCTCACCCATTCGCCCTACAAACCCTGAGCCTATTGTCAGGCCCGAGCCCAAGACACTTTCGGGTGCAACAACACCAGAAGTCCACCGTAATCCACCTGGAGACAGAAGGCCTCCTCGTCAGCTGGATCTTTAGCTAGGGCGAACCCACGGTTATGGGGCAAAATAATCCCTGGGGTTTAGCTGGGAACAGAGGCAATCTACCCTCCTTCTCTAGTTTAGTGTTTCTTTTATTCAGGGGATGTTCTTATTAAGGAGGAAGGAATATGTTGTGTATTTGGTTGTCATGGTAATAGAATCTTGTGTTGCTATGGCAACTGAGTTAGATTATTAGGGGATAGCCCAGTCAGTTTTGGCTGGCGGTTGGCTAGTTCTGTGTGTGGCAATAAATGGCTGCTCCAAGGTTTACAGCTCTCTGTGTCTCAAGTGATTTCTTCCTAAAACTGTTGCCCCCAAGGATATAACATATCTGGTCAAGGGCCCGGTGCTGGGAAACCCAGACTTTGACAAGCCCTTTACGGTGTTCACTGATGCCCCAGACACAGGGCTGGGTGCGGAGCCGGCGCAGGCCAATGCAAAGGGGGAGAAACACCCCATCATGTACCTGAGGAGGAAGCTGCTGCCCCGGGAGCAGGGCTCTGCGGCCGTAGAGAAGGAATGCCTGGCCATGGTGTGGGCTCTTAAAAGGCTGCAGCCGGATCTATTTGGGCAGCGCTTCACGGTGTACCTGGACCACTCGCCCTGCCGTGGCTGCACCCAATGAGGGGGCCAACGCCAAGCCCCTGAGGTGCAGTCTGTCCTCCCAGGATTACGAGAGGGAGTGGGGCACGTTAAGGCCAAATGTTATGGCCGATGCTTTGTCCCAGAGAGGGGGGCCTGAATTACACCAGGTCACTGGCTAAACTGACCCCGCTCAGTTCGGTCTCAAAGGGGGGAGAGATGTGACTAAGTGGGGATTTTCCCTTGTTATGTTGTATGAGAGTCTTACTGTTTGGCATGAATGCTGTGGGTGCCTCAGTTTCCCTGTGCATTGCATCAATGTCTAGGTGGTGGCAATAGGGGTGTGTGACTTTTGCGGGGTTGCTCCAGCTGCCTGCAGGGATGCTATGGCCGCCCCTTCGTAACCTGAGACCCAGGAGGGGTATGCGACCAGGTGACTCTGGCCTGGGAAGCGAGACAAAGGCCGGAGGAGGAGCAACGGGCAGGACAGGGCCCAGGCAGCTGGAAGTTACCCAGTTTGGAGCTGGCTGGAGAAACTGAGGGAGATCCAGAACCGGGGTCTGGGCTCCCTACCCCCCAAGATGGACCTGACTTAGGGGTCCTGTTCTCTGTACCTACAAGCTCTGTTGTAGACCATGTTCCTGTCATCTAATAAACCTTCTGTGTTATGCTTGCTGAGAGTCACGTCTGACTGTGGAGTCGGGGGGCAGGGCCCTCTGGCCCCCCAGGACCCCACCCGGGCGGACTCGCTGCGGGAAGCGCACGGTGGGGCAGGGGATGCTGGATGCTCTGGGGTCAGACCCAGGAAGGTGAAGCTGTGTGAGCGTCTTGCCCTGGAGACAGTCGGTTCCGAGAGAGGAGGCTCCCCACGAGTCCTGCCTGGCTTCGTGGGGAGCAGCTCCAGAGCATTGTCCCTGTGTCTCCTGGTGTATTGAGCATCTCCCCTGTGGGGGTGGGGGGGCAGGGTGTGTGTGGGGGCTCCTGGGGGGCGTATGGGGGTCTCCATTGCAGGGGTGTGGGGGGCTGGGGTGTGTTTGTGGGGTCTCCCCTGTAGGGGCTGTATGGGGGATGGGGGGGGGTCGGAGGGCGGGTCTGGGCTCACACACCCGCGGGGGGCTCCAGCTCTGCCCAGGGCCCAGCAGCATCAGGGCCATGTCGGGGGGCAGCTTCTGGAAAAAGGCCTCGCTCTCCACCGCCGTCCCGTCCTCCTCCAGCACCAGCCTTGCCAGCCCCGCCACCAGCAGCACCTCCATCGCCTGTGGGGGGCAGAGCGGTGAGGGGGGAGCACCCCGAGCACAGGGGGCAGAGTGTGGGGCAGGGGAGCTGGGGGGGCAGGGAAGCAATGAGGGGTATAGGGGACAGGGGAGCCCCCGGTGGATGGGGGAGCAGGAAAGGGGTACGGGCGCAGTGAGGAGTCAGTGTGAGGCAGGTGGGGGTGGCTCAGCTTGGCAGGTCCTGCAGACTGATGGGGAGTGGGGGGAGGAGTAGGCTGGCTGATGGGGGCGGGCAGTGGGGCAGGGCTGGGAGAGGTGCAGCAGGGTCGGGCTGGGGGGTGTCATGGAGGGACCAGGGGAGTGGGGTGGGGGCAACAGGAGGGTCAGGGATAGCAGTGGCGGGGGCTGGAGGGAGCAGGGGGTATTGGTGGGTGGTAATATGGGGGTGTTGGGGTAGCAGGGTGAGGGAGTCAGGGTAGTGGGGGGAGTGAGGGATGGAGTCAGGGGCCGTAGGGGGAGCTTGGTTTGTGTGGGGTTCACCTTGTTCAGCAGCTCCTGCAGGGTCACGGCCCTCAGCCCCGTGCGGCCCCCCCGCTGGTGGTCGCAGACACGGAACGGGCACGGGAGGGGGACACGGGGGGCCCAGATCCGACGGGTCACCTCCGAGCCAGCGCTGGACACCGACCTGGGGTGTGTGTGTGCTGGGGTGGGGCAGACCATTGTGGGGCCATGACAGGGAGAAGGGGGGCAACATGGGGTTAGGGGGCCCATTGTCCTATTGGTGGGATATGGAGGGGATGAGGGAGTCCAATGTCCTGTCGGGGGGTACCAGCCCTGGGGGGCACAAGGTACCTCTTGGGTGGTAGAAACCATTCTCCTCAAGTGGGGCCCTGGAGGGGAGAGCCCACCCCTAGGGAGGGAGGGGGGAGAAACCATTCCCTTGCTGGGAGGGCTTCTTCTGTGTGTGTGGGTGGGGGGGGGGGGTTAGGAACTGTCATAACTATAAAGGGAAGGGTACCAGCCCTCCTGTATACAATACTACAATCCCTCCTGGCCAGAGACACCATAATCTTTTTACCTATAAAGGGTTAAGAAGCTCAGGTAACCTGGCTGACACCTGACCCAAAGAACCAATAAGGGGACAAGATACTTTCAAATCTTGGTGGGGGGGGGGGAAGGCTTTTGTTTGTGCTCTTTGTTTTGGGTGTTGTTCGCTCTTGGGACTAAGAGGGACCAGACATCAATCCAGGCTCTCCAAATCTTTCTGAACAAGTCTCTCATATTTCAAACTTGTAAGTAACAGCCAGGCAAGGTGTGTTAGTTTTATCTTTGTTTTCTCAACTTGTAAATGTTCGTTTTGCTAGAGTGTTTGCTAGAGTAAACCTCTGTTTGCTATAACTTTGAACCTAAGGCTAGAGGGGGTTCCTCTGAGCTCTTTGAATCTGATTACCCTGTAAAGTTATTTTCCATCCTGATTTTACAGAGATGATTTTTAAATTTCTTTCTTTAATTAAAAGCCTTCTTTTTAAGAATCTGATTGATTTTTCCTTGTTTTAAGATCCAAGGGGGTTGGATCTGGATTCGCCAGGAATTGGTGGGGGGGAAGGGGAGGAGGGGGAATGATTAATTCCTCCTTGTTTTAAGATCCAAGGGGTTTTGGATCCGTGTTCACCAGGGAATTGGTGGAGGAGTCACTCAAGACTACCCAGGGAAGGGACTTAGCACATTTGGAGTGGTGGCAGCAAAAGCAGATCTAAGCTGGTAGAGAAGCTTAGAGGTTTTCATGCAGGTCCCCACATCTGTACCCTAAAGTTCAGAGTGGGGAAGGAACCTTGACAGAAGCGGACACATCAAGTCACAGAAGCTGGATGTAAGGGTGGAATGGCCCATTCCTAGGGGTAGGGGAAGTTGAAACCCCATGTTGTGGGGGAGGGGCCCTCAGTGGAGGTGGTGACACCCCCAGTCCTGCATCCCAGCCCAAGGTCCCCCTTTGTCTGCCAGTTTGGGGGGGTTCTGAGCCCACTCACTGCAGCAGGGAGGCGGGGGCCAGGGTGCTGATGTAGTCCATGGTGTTAGCAGGGTTTGGGGGGGTCCTTGTCCTGAGGGTCAGGGCCTCTGCCCGGCGTTAGGCTCCCCCGTCCCTCAGACCATCCACTGCCAGCCAGGCTGGACTCTGGACTCCGGACTCCACAGCTCAGAGGCGGGGAGTGGGGAGGGTGACACACAGCGGTGGGAGGCAAACTCCAAGGTCCCCCAGGGCAGGGTCGGGAGGGAGGTGGGTACTGGGGCAGGAAGTGAGGCCACAGGTGCCAGTGATGTGTTAGACTCCACAGCTCCCCCTTGTGCTGTAGGGAGAGAAACTGAGGCACAACTGGGGCTGAAATATGGGAGTCCTGGCTCCCAGACTCCCCCCCTTTAACCACTAGACCCCATTCTCCTCCCAGAGTCAGAGAGAGAAACCAGGAGTCCTGGCACCCAGTCCTCCCACCCCCTTCCTCTCTAACCACTAGACCCTGTTTTCCTCCCAGATTTAGGGAGAGAACCTGGGTGTCCTGGCTCCCAGCCCCACCCCCCTGCTCTCTGGAGTGCAAACAGGCAGCTCTATCCCCCGGGGCTGGGACAGGCTGGGTGCACCCTGTGAGCTGCCCACCCTCCCCATCCTTCATTGAACCACAGAAGGAACCAGATCAAACTGCAAAGACACTTTTATTGGTGGCCCCCCAGGCCGGCTCCCGGGGGCAGCTGGCGACATAGCTGGTACCAGTTCGTCTGCCCCCGAACCATCGTCAGATCTCCGGGCTCCTTCCTCAGTTACAAGGGGCCCGTGGGGTGTGAACAGCTGCCACTAGGAAAGGTGGGGGGGATAACAACCCAATTATGCCCCCTTTGGTGGATGAAGAGACCCCAACAGTTCAGACCTTCCCCCCCCAACCACTAGACCCCACTCCCCGAGCTGGGAATAGAACCCAGGAGTCCTGGCCCTCAGGCCCCCTCCCCACTCTAATCACTAGACCCCACTCCCCAAGTTGGGGATAGAACCCAAGAATCCTGGCTCCCAGTCGCTGTAACCCCTAGGCCCCTTGCGGCCAGTGGGGGTGCAGAAGGAAGGTTGCTGGGGAGCGACCCCCAGTGGCAGGGCCTGGGGTTTGGGGGTGCCACAGTCACAGGTCACGGGTGGCCGAGAGCCCCTGGCGGAAGGTGGAGCAGGAGAACGTGACTTGCTTGTACGTTGGATCAATGTCCTGGAAGGGTGCAGAAAAGATGGATCTGTCATGGTAGCCAGGAGGTGCTGTGGGGTGGGGTGAGGCAGGGCTGGGGGGCTGGGCAGGGGGCACTATGGGGTGGAGAGTGGGGCAGAGGGTGCTGTGGGGCAGGGAGGGGTGGGGGACTGGGCAGGGGGTGCTGTGGGACTGGGAATGGAACAGGGGTGGGAGGCTGAGCAGGGAGTGTTGTGGAGTGGGGTGAAGACTGGCCAGGGGGCATCGTGGGGCAGGGAGAGGGGCAGGGGTTGGACCCTGGGGAGGGATTGCTGTGGGGTGGGGGCTGGGCAGGGAATACTGTGTGTTTGGGAGTGGTTTGGGTGGGGGGGGGCTGGGCAGGGGGGGTGCTAGGGGGCAGAGAGCAGGGCTGCAGCGGGGGCACTGGGCAGGGGGTGCTGTGGGGCAGAGTCTGGGCAGGGGACGCCATGTGGTGGGGAGCAGATTGGGTGTGGGGCACTGAGCAGGGGTGTGCCATGGGGCAGGGAGTGGGGGGCTGGGCAGGGGGTTCTGAGGAGTGGGGGCTGGAGAGAGGGGTTCTTGGGGATGGGCCAGGGGGACTCACCGGGAATTCAAATTCAGTCCCGGAGTCTGCGTTGTCTTCCTCCTTCTTGCCCTTAGGGGGTGTTGCCCCTCCAGCTGCTTGCTGAGGCCTGGGCCCCTCCACAGGGAGCTTGGGGAGCAGCCCCCAGTCCTGGGACGCTGCCTGGGGCCAGCCCCCCTCGGTCGTCTGCTGGAGACCTAACCACAAGGGGGGTCAGAGTGGGTTCCGTCCTGCCCACCCCCCATATCAGCTCCTCGGCTCCGTCTCTGCCCCATGGCTTGGCACTGTCTCCCCGCCCACGTATCGGTTCCTTGGCCCAGCTGACATGGCCCCCACTTTACCCTTGGGTCTTCCTATGGATGTGACACCATGTTCCCCCCTCTGGGTGCAGTTCTCACATTTCACCACTAGGTGGTAACATCTTAACCCACTGAAGCCAGAGTGCGGCAGTAAGAAATCCCTCTCTTAAAGGGGAGGCCAGCGGTGCTGGGATGGGCACCCGAGGTCCTGGCACCAGGCCCGGAGGTGGGGGGGGCTGCCCTCAGTGGGGGCAGGGCAGTCGTTACTCACACATATTGACCCCGGAGATGTCGGTCGACCTGCAAAGGCAGAAGGGAGGGTCAGTGGTGGGGAGGGAAGCTGGAGGTCTCTGTCCTCTATGGGGGCAGGGACAGAGGTCAGCCCATATGACCCCCAATGCTCCATGCTGTTGCAAAGGATTCTGGGTCACCACTTTCTCTTTTCTCCTCCTTTCCTAGACGATCGTCCTCTTTCTCCTCCTCTGTCTCCTTCATTCTCTCTCCTTCCTCCCTCCCCATTTTCCTCCTCTCCTCCTTTCTCTCTCTATTCGATTTCTCCTGTCTTTGCCCCATTCCCTTCGCTCATTTCCTTTGGTCACACTCCAGTTCCCTCCTTCATTCTCTTTTCCTTACCCTCCCCTCTGGTTCCCCCACAACCTCCCTCCTGTCCTGTGCACTATTTGATCCCTTTTCTGCCCCAGCCTGGTCTCCCTGCCCCCCATCTTCCCCTGAGATCCACCCCGGTCTCCCCCACCCTCCAAATGATCCCTGCTCCCCCGGTGTTCCCCACTAAGATCAGCCCCTGGGTGTATGTAGCCATCTAATGCCCCACCTGGCCCCAGCCCCCCCTTTTCATTCACAGTGTCCCAGCCACAGAAATCCCCCTTTTATTTTCTGTGGGCCACATACCCCCTATAGATTGACGCCCCCCCGGCCACCTGGATCCACGGACCGGAGCCCCTATCACTTGAGCTCAATGCCCAGCCCCCATCCAGGCTGTGCGACCCGCTATGTGCCGGCATCGCCCCTAGAGGGTGTGAGCAAGCCAGGCTGGGGGGGCGACCCTAGAGCTAGTCCCCTGGGGGGGTGGGGCCAGGGAGACCAGACCCCGCCCACTGTCATACCATCTCATTATCCGCGACCGGCGCAGCTCCCGGCTCTTCCAGTAGGACCTGGAAGGGAATTGTGGGAGTGGGGTGTCAATATGGGGTTCGGCCTGGTGGGGGGGCAGGGGGGCACTGCTGGAATTAGCTGGGCCCAGGGGGTGGTGGCTGCAATTCCCAATGTGACCACCGGGGGGCTGCAAGGTGCAGGAAGAGAGAATGGGGGGAATAGGAGAATTTTGCCCTAACTGGGGGGGACAGTCGGGAGCCAGGACTCCTGGGTTCTATCCCCAGGGGATCGAGGGACCTGTTGGAACAGATTTGCCCTCCCAGGGACAAATGGCTCCCGGCCTCATGGAGAGCCCTGGGGACCTGGAGGAACTTACGTGGAAAGCCGGCGGGTAGCTGGGGAAGGAAGGGAAAGAGATTGAATTAAAGCGAGATTCCATGGAGTCTCTTTTCCCCGTCTCTCCCCAGCTGTAGTCAGGGCCGGCTCCAGGCATCAGCTTGTCAAGCAGGTGCTTGGGGCAGCCACTCTGGAGAGGGGCGGCATGTCCAGGTATTCGGTGGCAATTCGGCGGACGGTCCCTCACTCCACCTGGGAGTGAAGGACCTCCCGCCGAATTGCCACCACAGATCACGATCGTGGCTTTTTTTGTTGTTTGTTTGTTTTGTTTTGGCTGCTTGGGGCGGCCAAAACCCTGGAGCCGGCCCTGGCTGCAGTGCTCCCTAAGGGGGAGCATCCCCTTAGGGAGCACTGCAGCGTCTGCCATCCCGGACGCCTGGGTCCCATCCCCCCTCCCAGTTTATCCGCCCCCGGTTCTGGGACCTGAACGGCTCCCCCAGGGGTGAGGTGACTGTGCTGCTTCTTGGATGCCTGGGTCCCATCCCGTGTCCTGCCCCCAACCTGAAGTTGGCTGGGTCTCAGCCCAGTCCTGGTATTCCCTCCCAGTGAAAGTCAAATCACTCACAATCCTTTGTATCAGGATTCTGCTGTGCCAAGTTACCCACAGTCCGTTGCACCAGAGTCCTGTTGTACCCAACTACCCATGATCCTTTGCATGGCGGTCCTGCTCTAGCCAGTTACCCACAGTCCTTTGCAACTGGTTCTTGCTATCCCATGTCACCCCTTGTGGGGGCTGAGAGCGCTGAAGGCATCCCCTAGGTGAGAACACTCCTGTCCCGAATGCCTGGGTCCCATTCCTCACAGGCACTGAGAGCTGCGGTGCCCCCTAGGGGTGAATGCCCTGTGCTGCCGTCCCGGATGCCTGGGTCCCATTCCCCATCCTACGCCTCACGCACCTGCCGTCTTCTTCCTGCAGAGGGGGATGAGCAGCAGCAGCAGTGCCAGAGCCGTGGCAGCCCCACCGCACCCAGCCACCAGGGGGATGGGCAGAGACCAGGCTGGTAAAAGGAGGGGATGAGTTAACAGCCAGGAACAAAGGAGGTGGCAGCATCCGGGGACTCACTATCTGCTCCAGACCCCATCCAGGGCAGGGGACAATCTGGGCCCTCCCCTTTAAGGAGGGATATTTTTCCTGACAGATGCTCTTGGTACTGCCCATGATGAAATGCTGCCACCTGGTGTCAGGCTCAGGTACTGCACCCTTGGGGCTACATGTGGTTCTGTCGCCCCCCCCACCCCGTAACATGTGCTGTGTCTTGGCTCTAGGGTCTCCCCCGGGGTAGCAGATGTTGGGGTCCTGGGGTTATTGCGGGGTGCGATTACAGCCCTCACTTGTCACAGTGATGTTCACAGACTGGCTCCTGGGGGATGGGATCCACCTGCCGCTCATGTTCACCTCGTACCCGCAGCTGAATTTCCCAGTGTTATTGGGACCAGCATATGGGATGCTGAGCACAGAGTTCATAAAGCTGATGCCAGGCTCCATGGTGCTGATCTCAGACCCTGTGTCCCCAGAGATGATCTCAGCTCCATCTTTGCAGAAGTGAAACCTCCTCTTGCTGGTGTCCCTGGGGGCAATGCAGGTGATGAGCAGGGGGAGCCCTTCGCTCACCACTCCGGACGGGGGATCCACTCTCAGTACTGGCTGTGGTGGGGGATCTGAGGGGAGCAGGACACAGGAGAGGTCAACAGAGAAACCGCAGTGCTGAATGTGAGGAAGGGGCGGCAATACTGTATAATGGGCACTAGGGGCAGCAGAGGGTGGGTGCGGGGAAGGGGCGGCAATACTATATAATGGGCACTAGGGGAAGCAGAGGGTGAGGAAGGGGCAGCTATACTGTATAATGGGCACAAGGGGGCAGCAGAGGGTGGGGGTGGGGAAGGGTCAGCTATAGTGTATAATGGGCACTAGGGGCAGCAGAGAGTGGGGGCGGGGAAGGGGCGGCTATACTGTATAATGGGCACTAGGGGCAGCAGAGAGTGGGGGCGGGGGAGGGGCGGGTATAAAGGAGAAGTGGTGGCAAG